CATTGTATAGCCACTTTAGCATGGTTTTGCTAGAACCAGGCATTGTGGCACAACATCTATAACCCCAGAATTTGGGAGCCTGAGCAGGAGGATATGGAGTTGGAGGCTAGCCTGGACTACTATTGTATGACTTTTCCAGTGATGTCAACAAATGTCTTCACCTCCAGTCAGGGCACCAATGACAGCAAACAAGTAATTCCACCCAAGTCTAGTTTGGTGAACAATGAGTTTAATTGGGGTGACTTACAGGAACATGGCTTAGGGTTTACTTACAGGAGCATGGGCATCTACATCAACAAATTCTCCCAGTCCCATCCCCTAGTAATTAACTGCTTATATAATCTTCCTGGAGGGATGGGGCCTTGTGCGACCACCTTTCAAGGCTTCCTTATGCTATGGCAAGACTTCATGAACCCTCTACCACTTCCATGATGGAATGCTAATAGGCCCAATCTCATGAAGGTGTCCTGTGGATAATCACAAATGGCAAAGCCATGTCATACCCAGACTACAGCTTTACACAACACTCTACCCCTCCCTTAGGCCCCTATAGTCTTTCTGCCCTTCTTCTTTGATGTTCCTCTGAGCCTTGGAGAGAGGATGTAAATATATGGTTACTCTCTCCCATTAGAGTTAAACACTGAGCCACTATGCCACAACATTCTAGTTTCCATAGTAACCATCATCATTGCATAAAGCTTTCCCTGACCAAAGCTGACAAGAGCAAGTCTATGGATGTAAATACAAATGTTTAGAAGGCAGTTTGACAGGTTTATCATATCCATTTAGCAAAACAAGAGCAATAATTTCTTCCTAAGGTCTATCATCTCCCAAGCCACAAGCTTTTGTTGTGTTCTGTTGTGTTACAATACCAAGCATGAATTGCCACCTTTGGAGACGGCCTTAAATCCAGCCAAAAAACAGATGATTGCTCTAACAGTCACAGCACTATTTCCAGCAGCAGGCACATGCGGCATGGTACACTGATGATGATAACGTACTGTGTCCGTAGCTAAGCAAGGCCTGGGATGGTAATTCTCCCCTAGAAGTCTGCACAGCACTTTTAGACAAGACTTCTGAAGGCTAGGAGGAAGGGCATTTTCAGCTGTCTCAGTTTAATTTCTCTGTGTTCTAAAACCAGAGCACATAGTGTGGTGTCGTCAGCAACAGAGATATACCATCTAGTTCTGGCATGTAGTCAAGAGCAATGGCAATAGCGTGCAGGAGCTCTGAAAGCCCACCACTGATCAGTTCAAGTAGTTGCCAATTGGTCTTGGAATTAAGCAGCTAAGGGGCTGTCAAAAAGTAAGTTAGCAAAGCCCAAACAGTGTGAAAAATACAATGCTCGGTACAATGATGTGGATAGATGGCATTACCATTATTTAGTTTTCTGTATCAACAATCATTAGCCATGAGCAAACTTGGCTTATCCTGGAACTCCCCCCCGCCCAGGGGGGTGGGGGTGGGGTATGTGCCTTCCCACCACCCAGCGGCTCCATGACTGACTCAAGCTGTTCAACCATCCTGGGGCCAACAGGAGCCTGGCAGTGCTATTCACCTGCGGACACCACCCTTACTCCCTGGTTTGATGGGCTTGCATTGCTACTGCTTTTCTGTTGGCCACACATGGCTGTTGAAAGGGCCCCAGAAGTGGGCAAATAATCTCCCTTCCAGGGCAGAAATGTCCATAGCATACTCTAGGGGAATACCTACCTACCTGTGGAACAAGCAGACTCTTTCTCATCTGCACTGCCCTATCATGTGTACCTTCACAAGCTTGAAAGCCATTCAGAGGCTTACAAACACTGAATGGCTGTTAGTTTCCCCTACCCCCAAAATCCAAGTCATGCAACCCACTATCCCACCTCATATGTGCTACTTTCAGGGTCTGAAATATGCTCTGTAGTCCATCAGCCACGTGGGGACATCCCTATACTTACATGGCAGACTTCAGCCATCAATGAAACATCCTAGTCCACACCACACAGAAGATGGCCACCCTGGGACACTCAGCCTCCAGGCATGCCTGCCTTCTCACCCAGAGTGGGGCAGACAACTAGCACTATTAGGAAGGCTGCCCCACCTCAGGAACTTCCTTACATCCACCAGGGGAGGTTAACATGCCCAGTCTGATGAGGATCACCTCAAATCATCAAAGCTGCTCAGTTTCAAGAGAGCAATGGCCAAGTCAGGCCTGGAGGACAGACTACAGCAGCCACACAGGGAGATGCTGCCTGAGGAAGGAAAGGAGGGGAAAGTTCATTATTTCTTTAAAAGCTAAATATGAATTTATCACACAACCCAACAATTCCACCCCCAGCAATCTATAAAAAATAAATAAGGGTGTGTCTACAGAGATATGTCTGACTACAACTTTTTAGAATATATTTTATGTGTGTGTCTGAGCGTTTTACCTGTATGTATGTAAGTATACGACATTGTGCAATACCTACAGAGGCCATGTTTTGGAGTCCCTGGAACTGGAGTTACTGATGGTTGTTAGGTGCCTCTATGTCCATCTGACCCGGACTAATTGAAATTTCTGGCTCCTAATCTTCCAAAAGTTTTTGAAGATTTGTCAAACTAATGAAAAATATAAGTTTTTTCAAGACTATTCCCAAGAACTTACCAACCACTCTTCTTGGCACCATTTGAAGGTGAGTCACATCTGGATCCATTAAAATCAAGTTGTACACAGAAAAACAGAAACTAAGTTTACACAGCCCGCACCTCTTACCTTGCGGATTTGAAGGACAGCAATCTGAGGCTCTGTTTTCCCACTCAGGGGGACAAAGTGACCTTCCATTCTACCACTTATGAGGACAGCATGACTGTCTCTCAAGGATTTTCTCTACTTTACCAACCCTATCTTTTATACTATCAGGGACCCAGAATGGATTCTCTGATTCTGTGCTATCATCACAAAATGCTCCAGGCATCAACTGTCACTGAGTAACCCTCGATGCTCTGAGGATTCCACAAGGCTGAACACATCCACCCATGAGGACAACAGGATGACGGGACAGGCTGCTGATCGGGGTTAAACTGTCTAGACCTAGTTTTATTTGTGACTACTTCAGACACTCCTCAATTGGCCCTTTCTCCATGAGAGAATTTGAGACTAAGTTTTAGGAGGGAAGATTCTCTGTGGAGCTCAGATAATGGTCTCCTGTCTCCCATGAACCTAGGGTTTGTATCTGTTACCACTCTGATCACAGCCCCCCTGACATCTATCCACATTTATTTGAACTGTGAATCCCAATGTTTTGGTCTTTTTTCTTTTTTTCCAGAACTGCAAACGATGGTGCATGGATTGCTGCAGGCATCATTTGCTGGAGGGAACTCTGAGCTGTCTTCCATTCAAGGATGATTTAACCCCACTAGAGCATCCATGGCCAAAGCAGCAGGTGCCTTTCTGCTCAGCCTTCCCAGTCTGTCCTTCCTACTAGAGATGGGTGGCAGAGGAGGCACAAATGGGATTTCTAATCAGTTACTCCATGCTGGACACAAATTGGGGCACCTTCATGCTGTCCCACTAGAAACAGGTATTGAAGCTCACTTGAGAGCTATGCAAAATGAATCCCTGAAACTAGGGGCAAGGGCTGCCCAAAGACAAGTGGGAATGCGGACAAGCCAAATGATTTACACAGGATACTCAATGGCATACCAAACAGGCTTTACTTACCTGAAGCTCTACTTGGTACCTGACATTATTCAAAGAGTCACAAAAATAAATCTATTATACCTTCTGGTACAGTTCACAGTTCAAGGATATTTGTATTAAGACATCACCTCTCAACAAACACAGACATTTGAGTATCATTAGATCTTACCACCCTCCTGGAAGACGTCACTTTTAGTGTAGTTGACAGAATGCATATCCATCACTACTCTGGAAACACAGTTCAAAGAATGAATTTTTTTTCCAATGAGAAAAGCGCACAACAAAGTCAAAAGATGATTGATTTTTTTTATTCTTCTATTTCAGTTTCAGTAAAAAGATTCAAAGAAGTGATTGACACATATCATAAACTTTCACCCATATACAGTATATATACAGTGTTGCTACTTTTTGTTTTTTCCTTGAACAAGGTGCCATCACCTCTGTTCAAACCAAAGTGCAAATGAAGAAATACTATAAAAAAAGAGAGGGGCTGTGGTCTTCCTATTCTCTGACAGAAACTGTACACCCACCACCAGAAGGAAAAGTTGGCGGAGGAAACATTTACAACCCACAGGTTAAAAAGCCAAGCAAGAGGTACCATTCCCAAACAGCAAGTTTGCAATGATTAGTCATTACTGTGAAAGAAACCCCTAGCATTCATCCCTTCACCACATCATGACATTAGAGTTTAAGCCCTCTTCCAGTGCAAATATAAAGATGATCACAGTCTGGATTTTATGATAATTGCTAAAATATAGTCTATTTTAATATACATGCTATAAAAGTATGCTACAAATTTTAATCTTTAGAGCTCTGTTAAAATTAAGAACTTACTTTTTTACATGTCGCATAATATACACCCACATCTAAAAGTCTATTTGAGAAAAGCTTTTCCTGTAGCCCGCAATAATCCTAGTTTCACACTTTATTTGAATATTCATTTTTAATACCTGTTATTTAGTAATTGTTTCTCTTTTTTTGCCACCATGCCTCCCCTCCATGACGGACTCTTTTTTAAAAAAATATTTTATTATTTTTATGTGTATGTGTGTCCTGCCAGTATGTAGGTAAGTGCACCCATGTTGTGCAATGCCCTCAGAGGACAGAAGAGGCTGTCAGATCCCCTGGAACTGGAGTTACAGACAGTTGTTAGCTGCCATGTAGGTGCTGGGATTCAAACCCAGGTCTTCTGCAAGAACAACCAGTGCTCTTAACCGCTGAGCCATCTCTCCAGCCCCCTAGTAATGCTTTCATAGTTCTGTCTTACAATGCCTCATCAATCCTATAAAAACATAACAGGATCAACATATCTTCAAGGCCTTTTTACTTGGGCACACTGCCAATTTTCAACACAAGTTCCTAGCACAAGATTTGCATTGTATTTTTTAAAACTTTGGTGCCTGAAAATCTTTTATGGTCAACATGTGGAGCTGTTAGTGGGACAAATAAAAGCACTAGGTGTTGAAATTAAGTTGTGTGTGGCCTGACTAAAAAGTAATTGCTGCCTCCTGCAGCAGCACCTTCAGAGCCAGCTTCTAGGTTTTTATGCAGCAGCAGGAAATAATGCCAACTGAACATGTTCAGTGACAGTGAGTCACCCAGTGCAGGCCAAAGATGGACAGCACTCTCAGGGCTGAGGGCCACGGTGTCTGCTAGGTGCACTAGACACACATGCAAGTGTAGTACCCATGACCAGGTGATAGCTGTAGGCTCATCCACAGAACCCAAGAAAATCTACAGTAGATAGGAATATATAATACTTGAAATTCATTTCTAATTTAAACAAAAATATTTACTCTCTTCATTAACAAAACGTTCTTTACAATGTATTTATTTCTCCTCTCTGAATATTTCATTGGGGTCACTAGGTGACACCAGAAGGTTTATCACCAACTGTGTTATATTAAGTATGGCTGTAGAGGACACACAGCAACAGGAGCTTACATCTCCTGATAAACTTACTCTCATGTAGCTGGTGTCCGATCCACCCAAGGAAAGGTTCAGCATTTGGGTGCTTTTTCTTCTTGGTGGCTATCAGTTCTGCTTGATTTTTGTCTTTGGATTTTATGACATGATGGGAAGAGCAACAACGAGACACAGATTAGCTACCACCAGGATGTTGGCCTAGGAATGGGTCTCCCGGCAGACCTTCCTTCTTTCCAGGTGAGTGTTCAGAGGGCTGCTGGAGAGCCCGAGGCAGGCACAGAAAATGTTATACATGCAGCACCTCCGGGGGCAGCCCGCTGCTCAGTGGACATCCCTGATCTGCCTTGACCACCACTGCTACTCTCAGGACTTAGTGAAATCAGTTCACAGAAACAAGAAAGGCAGAGGCCTCCACCAAGAGGGACCCAAACCATAAGGCTCTCTTTACACTTCCTCATAGGCACCATTCTGGGAAAGATGAGCTGGTGGAGGAGCCACGCTTCGTGTTCTTCACGCAGAATTCGTGTTTGTTTCTCTAGGGAAGTTGCTGTGAGGTTATGGGTTTTTTTTTTTTTTTTTCCAGTTTTATCAGAAATGAACTCTGATACCTGCCTTTTCTAACTAACCAATAAATTTCAGCCTCTGGATTCCTGAATTTTGAAATTACTTAAAAACAGAATGTTTTCTCTTAGCAAATGATCACTCTTCTGAAAAGGCGACAGTCCAGAGGGGTGGAACCAAGTGATGCGTCACCCACCTAGCATGTTCAAGACCTGGGATGCGATCCCTAGTACCACAAACAAACAAAAAGAAACAGAAAAAGTGGACAAGCATTCTTTTTCTTTCTTTTTTTAATCTACCTTGCCCTTCAGAAAATACTTGAGCTTATGAGAAGAGGAAGGCAGGAGAGCTGACTCCTGCTGAGCCTCAGGAGACACAGTGAAGGAACAGCTCCAAGCGCAAAAGGGAGTATTTGTGCAAGAGATCCCCCTGCCAAGAACAACCTTCAGACTGCCTCGATCTACAGTGCTTGACTCTTCAAAATACATGTCTGTTAAATTATGAAACCTGGCAAGAAGGGGAAAGAAACGAACATTAGAAAATTCATCTTAGAAAAAGCACAGGATCTTTTGCTGGCAACTGCTATGTATTTCATAACTCAGATCTTGTGTTTGTTAAATAGTCACAGTAATTTCAGAGAAGAAACATTCATGTCTACAAAACTTGCATCGATTGCATTTTCAACCAAGTTTGGGTTCAGTGCAAGATCTCATCCGGCAGTGCTTCCTGCAGTTCCTCTTCTGGGTACAGTTATACCTTCAATGTGGGCTGGAGGATTCCTTTCTCAATGAGGTGAGTCTTCAAGGTTTTATATATGTTTAATTGCTGTTCTGGTTGAAGCACCAGCAGCTGCTGGAGCACTCTGCTGGGATTAGGACCCCTGATGATAAACAGAGAAGACAAGTTCAGGCTGTTTGCACGGGGCTAAGTAAAGCACAGGCTCCCAACTTCTGATAAGCAGTCTTTATGTGTTGAGGAGCCATCTTTACAGAATGAAACAGCTCTTCGTAAGATCTCATTCTAATGCCCAATGTTTGTGTCAAGGGGGAGCAAAAGCCAGAGTTAGTTTTCCCTAAAAAGCACTGAGACTAGATCGGGGAGAACTCACAGGCACAGAACACATAATAGCGCACAGCAATTTAGTGGTGTGCAGAACTAAGTTCTACAGAGACTCCCTAAAGGGCAACTTGAGGTAAGGGGTGAGGTTTGTAATAACAAATCCTAAGGCCAGTAGACACAGACAAACCAAAAGGAAGGCAATAAAAGAAACTTAAAATGTCTAGCTTCCAGACTGTGTAAGGTGCTCTGTTGAAGAAATGCCCCCAGGGAACTATGATTGTTCATTCAAGCCACAGAACACAGAAGTCCCGAGCCTAGCACCAAAGTCCCTGCGCAGTGTATGCAGGGATATACATAGGTCCCTTTGTTCACACAAAGTCTTGGTAGAGCCCAACCTGTAAGCAACATTAAAGCCTTCACTGCTCTATTTAGAAGGAGGACAGGAAGGAGGAAGAGTCCTGGAGTCCTTGCTCATCTGCTGTAGCAATCCACTCAGGGGAACACGGAGCCCAGGGAGAATCCAAGTGACCTCTGGGTGGCAATCTAGCCCCTTGCCCCACTCAGCAACACATCTCCCTTTGGGCTTACTCCTCCACTATCCCTTTGCTTTCGTGCAAAGGGGTCAGAGGAATTCTCGGCAGGGCCGTGACCTTACACCTTGCCCTAACATGACATTATTACAGATATGGAAGTATAACTTTCCACAGCCTGGACTAGAGAGCTCAACTCATTCATACATTAGAGATTACATACATTTCTAAAACACTAATTTGGCAAAATCAGTCAGGCATGGTGGCTGATACATGTAATCCCAGCATGTGGCATACTAAGACAGGAGGATCGCTATAAGTAAGAGGCCAGTTTGAGCTATATAGTGAGTTCCAGATCAGCCTAAATTACAAGAGTAAGACCTTGTCTCAAACAAACAAACAAACAAAAAAACAGAAAAGGAAAAGAAAGAAAAACATGACCAAAATTAATTCAATTCAAATCTTCAAGTAAAATCACTGCTACCTGAACCTTGTAATGCACTTGCACAGGAGCGCACTGGTGGAATGGTAAAATCTAACTGGAAAAGGCCATGAGCAACATAGGGGAACTGCACAGGATTCAGAGGAAAACATTAAAATGAGACAGTAAATGATTTATAGTACACTCTTGTTTTTTTGGTTTTTTTTTTTGTCTTTTTTGAGATAGGGTCTCCCTGTAGCCCCAGCTGACCTGGAACTCACTATGTAGACCAGGCTGGCTTTGAACTCACATTGATCTGCCTGCCTCTGCCTCCCAAGTGCTGGGATTAAAGGTGTGCGCCACCATACCCGGCTAATACAATCTTGTTAAAATAGGAATTCTGACTCCTGATTTTAATTCTTCAAATGAATGCATACTTGGGTTTAACAATATAATTATTTTCTTTTCTTACATACCAACTATAAGACTAGAAATCCCAGCAACAAAGAAATGTCTGCAACAGTGTTATTGCAATGGGAAGTAACAAAGGAAGAACTTACTCTCAATATCTTTGACTTAAAAAAGCAACACAAGCCAGGTGTGGTGGCACTCGCCTTTAATCCCAGCACTTGGGAGGCAGAGGCAGGTGGATCTCTGTGAGTTCTAGGCCAGCCTGGTCTACATAGTGAGTTCCAGGCCAGCTGGGACTATAGGGAGACCCTGTCTCAAAAAACACCACACACAAAAAAAAAAAACCCACAAAAAACCAAACAAAAAAACTAAACTATGCAATAGCCTAGATCAGCCATACCATAGGTCACCTTCATGCAATGTATGTCAGGTCAACAGCCAAAAACCTTTAGCCAAGTTTCTCTCACAGCTGAAGTCCAGGCAAGTCTCAGCCCCTCTTGTTTTATTAGATCTCTTCCAAAGATTCAGCAACTTCATAATTTAGTCCCGAAATAGATGACCACAGAGAAAAGGAAACTATCCGAGCAAGCTCAGCTAAATGCAAAGTGATGTCAGCAGGTGCTCCCAGCTGGCTGTGCCCAAGGATCTACTTTCAAATGGTGGGCAGCATGGCTCAGCATGACCTCTCAACTGAGAGAGAACCAGATATGGTTTTCATAGTTTTTTGTTTTGTTTTTCAAACAAAGAGTGTGAGTTAATACTTGAACTTCTGCCATCTTCTGAAAAATATTTTTTAGGGATTCAACTACTAAATACTAACACCAAAACATATCAGCAAATAGATTAATACTCTAATTAAAAAAACAAAGATGGCCAACACGGTCATAAAAAACAGTTATGTGTTTGTTAGAAAAGAAAAGCATCATTAGAAATAAAGACAATGGTATGCTAAAAATAAAAAGAACACAGACAGCATTCAAACAATTGCCCAAAAGAAAGTGGCCAGAGCTGTCCTCGTATACAACAAAGCAGGCTTTGAGACAAGTGGGAAAAGACAGACATGGTAAGATGACCAAATGATGCATTCCACAAGAGAATGACAGGGTTAAATTTGTATACATCCAATACAACTTCAAAATACAGAATGTCAAACTTGACAGAAGTAGAAAAGGGGGTTCATCTTTACCCACAGCAAGAGACACCAACAAACTCTCTTAAGTAACCAACAGAACAAGCACATCAAAAGACAAACAGACCAAACTGAAGACTGCATTGAACTTCACTGGACACATACATCTAAAAATTGCAAAATGCATATTTGCTTCGTATGCAGATGCAACATGTACTAGAAGAGATGACATGCTGGACCGTGAAACAAGCTTCAAAAGATAAATACAGATGTGGAACTCTGTAATAGTCTCCAACTGTTGCAAAAGAAGCTTCTTTGATGAGTGGTGACTGGCATAGTTGTCTGTAAATATAAGGATCCATATTTAGCATACAGTAAGAAATTACATTTATCCAGGGATGTGACAGACTTAGGGTTTTCTCTAAGATCTATGACCTCTCCAGTCATGCGTATTGGCTATGTTTATAGTGCCACATGTGAATTCCTTCCCACTGAGTGGGTTTTAAGTCCAATTAGGTAGCTGTTGATTACCCCCAAGGAAAAAGTGCCACTACTGCACCAATACAGTTTGCTGTGCTGGTTACTGTTGTGGTTATTAGGCTTTAAAGCTAGGGTTGGATCACTGCAGCTTGCATAGGAGACTATTACAGAGCTCCACAACTGGTGATACACAACAAGTGTCTGTGAGATGCTCAACCCTAAGTGACACACCTATAGTGGAAACTCTACACCTACAGCCCACGGAACACAGTGGAACAAGAGGTAGAGAATACTAATGTATCTCTCAACTCTCAGCAGTGAACCTTCCTCATACAACAGTGGGCAATGAACACAAAAGGCCACAACTGGGCAAAGTGTGGAGTATAAGAGTCTATAGAGTGTGTGGACTCCTATATTAAACTCTACCCACCCAGGGCTCAGGGACCATTACAGAAGAGGGAGAGGAACGACTGTAAGAGCCAGGTATATGATTATATGGAAACAGTTTTACAGGCTCCTGAAATTGCTCATATGAACCTATAGCAATGACAGCATGCACAAGGCCCAGGCAAACTCAAGAAGACAAAAACCCAGCATAGAACCGGAGAAATGGGCCAGTAGGCCCCAGTCTTAGCCGAAGAACTATTGGCAGCTGATTACTACTGGGTGAGGAAGAGCTGATCTTCTTTAAGGGAGAGACTCTAGATAGGCTGACTAGACCCCCAGTGGATGAACTTACACTGCAGAACATGTAGGTACACTAACTTGACTCAATAAGCCTTGACAGACTGCATGAAAGAATACATGAAATACTGTAGGGAGCTACAGAAGGTACAGATAGGGGAGGAAGTATAAAGATGACTAAGATGCTCTGTATGAAATGCACAAAAACTCAATAAAAATATACATTAGTAAAAAAATCCAAAAATCATACAGAATGGGTTTTTCAACCAGAGTGAATTAGGGAAAATATCAATAAAGGAAGAAAAGAAAGTTTTGATTTGTTTTGAAATCAATATACTTTTAAGTAATCCATGTATCAAAGGAGACAGTAATACAGGAAAGTGGAAAATATCTGTCACTGAATAATGAAAACGTAAATACTTTAACTTACAGGATGAGAATAAAGTAGCATAACAGAGGAAGTTCATTGTGTTCAATGGCTCTATTAGATAAGGCTAAAGTTAGTAATATAGGCGTTATCTTAAAAAGCTAAAGAAAGAACAGCAAATTGAACTTTAGAAAGATAAAAAAATTAAAAATAAGAGTGGAGGGGCTGGAGAGATGGCTCAGTGGTTAAGAAATACAGCTGTTCTTGCAGAAGACCCGGGTTCGAATCCCAGCACCCACATGGAAGCTAACAACTGTCCATAATTCCAGTCCCAGGGGATCCAACATCCTCTTCTGACTTCCACAGGCATTGCATGACATGGGTGCACTTATCTACATGCAGGCAATACACGCATACACACAAAATAAAAATAATAAATAAAAAATATAATAAAGCCCTGGTTCTTTGAAAAGATAAATGAAAGACTATAACTTCCTTCCCTCAGAAAATACAGAAATTCTTACACTGCTATGGGTATATATTTTAACTGTATATTTAAAGATTTCTAAATTAAGTTTCACTCTAAACAATTTATGGAAATCCATATGTTCCATGGCTCTGGTACTATAAGTGGAGAAATGAAGTCACCACAAGGGTAATACAATTAGCTTCCACATACTAAACTGCCATTTTGGAGTAGGTCTAAATCATTAAGAGTCAATAACAAGAACAAATCACCCTGTCTAAGCCGTTACGTCCACCCATCCTCTCACTCCTCACACATATACACAGTAGTAACCCCCCGGCCTACCCTTCACACACACACATGTAGTAACCCCCAAGCCTGCCCCTCACACACGCACACGGTAGTAATCTCCCAGCCTGCCCCTCACATGTGTACATAGTACTAATCTCCCAGCCTGCTTTCTTTTTCTCCATGACTTCTACAGTTTTCTGCATTATTTATTACTCAATTCTGACCCTCTAATCTCTCAGCAAGAAGCTGAGGGGAGGGGCTTGGTTGGCTTTATTCTCTGCTATGTCTATGACTAGAACATTCCATGACACATGCCCAGAACACTCTGTAACACATGGGTGAATTATGCTCTTTTTTAACTCTTACCATTCACAGGTATGACAATGCCTACACAGTTGAGAAATGCAGTTGGCTCCTATTTCCAATCCACATTGCCTGGGTTTTTCATTTGTTTCTGCTAATGGGCATGATATATACTATTTTTAAATTGTTCAAATGTATGAAAAAGAATGATGATTTAACCATACTGCTCAGAGCTTCAATTCCACTTAATTTGACATTACAGATTACCATTGATAGTGAACTTAGACTAATGGGAACTCAAAGAAATCATGTGATTTGAGAAGGCTTTTGATATATAAAATACCTTATAAAACTTGTGATGTATACATGGACGAATGTTGCCATCAGATACTGACAATCAAACCTGTCTACTATCCCACCATGTCCAGGAATGGTGTTTGCAAAATCCTGCAGAAACAAACAAATATGCAAAAACATCACCTATATCAAATTCTGATTTGTAAATGTCTTTTCAGTATCACAAACTGTATTAAAGAAAACACCTGACTATTAATTTTTCCAATAAACACAAATCAATTAGAATAACATACTAAAACCATATCTTTCAAATCTGCATTCATTATTTAATTTCTGAACTAGCCCACAGCATTGAAATAACAATATTAATTAAATCTAGCACTTTTTCTCACTAATAAAATTTTTCCAAGTAAAAATTCTATCAACTATTATTAATCTAATTTCCCAAGAGCCTATGCTTCTGCTCAGCCAGAAGCTATCTGGGCGTTATTTTGGTACTGTTACAGATGTACAAGTGTTTCTAACTCATGCTTATTCTAATAGCTCTTGCTGTGAAATAAACAGTCTAATCTAATGATAAACATTTCTTCTTTCTTTAAGTATTTAGGGTAGAAAGAAAACCAAAACAGCTAGCTCACTGAGAAAACCTCATGTCAGTCCATTAAATGGCTAAACTGAGAAGTTGGGTGGAAAGCTACTACAAACCAACCTACAGATGTGCTCACTCCTCTGGACCCTGGAAACAGAAGTAACTACCTGTTCTTATAGCACACTCACACGTCTAACACACACAAGATGCTACTGCAACTTCAGACATGCAAAAAAATCTCCCTTCAACAAGAAACACTGGATTAGACACCACTAAAAAGATGTCATTCTAAGTACACATTTCTCTGTTTAAAACAATTACTGAAAAATTCTTTAATTTTTGCCTGCCCATTCTCCTGGAGATCTCCCCCTTCTCATTACAGCATGCAGCAGCCACAGCAATGCCATCCCACTCAGCTGATGGCTAACAACGTTTGTGTCACCTCACACAGTCTCAGTGGTCAGTGTGGACGGATGGGGCTGCTCCCCCAATGGGTAAGGGAACACCTTGAGGCCAGGGTCCTGCAAGCTTCATCCTTTACTTTCCACTTATCTCAACACCCTTGTTAGGACAGATGCTCTGAGAGTTTATTTGCATCCCTGGTCTGTCTAAGGTCCTGTTTGGTCAGGCCCTTCCAGACACCATTCTCATCCATTCTCTGACACAGTTGCTCTATCCTTGTCCCCCCCGCCCCCAAAAGGCAACTCCCCTCCTTGCACTCATTGCAACATTCTTCCTCAAACTTCTCTTAAGACTCATTCTTGTCCTTTCCTCTGATCTCAGCTCTACCCCCTCTGAGGGGCCATCCCTGATCAGCCCACCTTCAAAAGCCACTTTAACCCCTAATGTCCCCATTCTACCTTAACACAGTGAAAGAGGAAGGTTGAGGTGACATCACTTTATGATGATCCAACTCAACTAAAACATGGGGACAACTCTAAGTATCTGCAACAGAGTCAGCAAATCAAATCCACAGACCAAATCCAGTCCATCATCTGTCCTGTAATAAATAACGTTTCATTAAGACCGAAACATTCACGGACATGTCTGTGAGGTCAGAGCTCACAGTGCAGCAGCAGAGTTTACAGTGTAAAAGCTGTGATGGAAGGACAGACTGCAAAGTCTGATATGGCACCACTCTCTCCAGAAAGTGTGATAACTGCCTAACCTATCAGGATGGACAGCTACATATCCAAACGATCTTCTGCATAACCTTTCAAGTGAGACTGACAAAATGCTAAACTGCAGATAACACATGGCTGAATTCTTTAATTTTTAAAATAACAAGATTCTGTGTTTATACCAGTAATGAGGGAACATATCATTTCTATAAGAGGCTGATATGTCACTTCAGAATGTATGAATGTGGCATGGCCAAACTAACAAAAAAGAACACCCTCAAACCAGCCAGGCAGCATTTCTATGAGGCTAAACAAATTACAGGGATGGTACAATTTCTTGCCCAAGGGTTTAAGGCAAACCAAGAGGGGACAAATTCCAATTAAGATACAGTCTCTAATCATGCCCACTAATAATGTAGCAAAGAATGTGAAAAAATACCTTGATTTTAAAAGCTCTTTTGAATCCACTGGCAAAGAAACCTCCAAATGGGCCAATCAGTGATGCAAATGTTGAAAGAGCAATGCTGTGTATCTGGAAAGGATACAAGCTCACTGTTTCCTAAAGAGGAAGAGGAAGTGGGGAGAGAGAATAACTGTATTAAAATTCTATTTGAGCATGCCATGTAATCAAGGAATCATGGAAAAACAGGAAGCCTAATATGCACATTTTTGCTAATTTCACAAGCTCTAAAGATCATGAGAGAAAAACGTTATTATATGCTTTCTATCCTGCCTTCTATTCAACCAGCAGGCTCTGTGCCCTGTGCCAACACACTGCCGAGAACCCACAGGCTCAGTCTCATGGCTTGTAAAGCACTAGTTCAGTCAGGAGCTTCAGCAACAGTTAAGTTATAGGACATAATAGCTAAATTAATTCCTACATTTGCTTTATTTTTTGCCAATAGTACTGTTTTTATAATTACATAATATTTTAATTTTATATTTCATAACATTATCTAATTTTACATGATGAAATAGGAAACCATCATCTTTTTCCCCAAAGCTAAATTGAATACTATGGGAACACAGAGAAATAGTTAAAATATAATCAAGGGCTAGCACGGTCGCATATACATGCTATCCTAGCACTCTGAAAGCTGATATAGGAGGACTTTGAGTTGAAGGTCAGCCTGGGGCTACATGGTGAGATCCTGTCTTAAACAAAACAGAACAAAAACAAAACCTCCCAAAATGAACATCACTTAAGCACTTACAGATGATTTGGGGAGATCATAAAAAAGAATTTTATACTCAAGTTTATAACACTTTCTCCTGTAGACAGCACATAATGAATACAGTCCAAGAAAGATGTTTGGCCCATGAAGCTTTGAACCTATTCCCAAAGTGAAAGCCTTGTTCTGAATTAGAGACAGAATCACCTGAACTTTGAGAGTATACAACAGGTGTGGATATTGAAAATATGTCTGGAATCCACATATTGATCAGTCAAGGGAAGAAATCATTTACAGGTTAGCCTGCTTCTACGAATTTGAATCAGAAGTGCAATGTTTCAAATACACACACACAGGTGCACACCCACACAGACACACAGCTACTTGAATCCCCATCTTAATAAACCCATGCCAATCCTAATAACGCAGATAGGAGGACGTTCCTTGAGAGCATGCCAAATGCCCTTTAAGGGGGCATCTCAAAGATGCTTTAAAAGGCAGCAATGGGCTTGGGAGAAAAACTCATTTTTAGAAGATTTCTATGCTAATAATGTCCTCTAAAAATCAAGAACACTTTCAACTGATGGGTTTAATTAAGTTTTAAACTGAGTCAGTTCATATTAGCAACATGTAAAATTCATTCTAATTCATTTATTTATAAAAATCTATGGAATATTTAAAATCCTTGAAAAAATAAATAAAATGCCACCAATATTTAAATCATTATGCAAATAAACTTGTAGTATACAAATGCTTTGTAATGTTAATACTCATTTGATGTTTAAGAAATAAATCCCAAGGGTATAGAATATATTTTTGATGACAGACATAAAGTCTACTTCTATATTATAAAATTGAAAATTCATGCCAGGTGTGGTGGCACATGCCTTTAATTCTGGCACTAGGGAGGCAGAGGCAGGCAGATCTCTGGGAGTTCAAGGCCAGCCTGGTCTACATAGTGAGTTCCAGGACAGCTGGGGCTACAGGGAGACCCTGTCTCAAAAAGACCCCCCCCCAAAAAAAAAAACAAAAAAAAATTGAAAATTCTGTAGAGATCAGTTTCCCTTAAGAATCTGAGTCTTGGGGTTGGTGAGATGGCTCAGTAGTTAGAGGCGCTTGCTGTGCAAGCCTGGAACCCTGAGTTCACTTCTCAGAATCCATGTAGAGGTGGAAGGAGAAAACTGACTCCATAAAGTTGTCCTTTGACCTGTTCGTGTGAGTACACACACACACACACACACACACACACACACACACACACACAACACAATACATACACATACACAATAATACTAAATTTTTAAAAAAGAATCAGAACCTCATTATTAAAGGAAGCTTGTCTTTGGAATAAAGGCTCTGTAATCATGTTACCTGGTGGTTTCCTCTTACCCGTCTCAACACTGCCTTTAGGAATGGAGGGAGGGAGTAGCTCTGAAGCTGGAACAGCTCGGAGGGCTCACATTCCGTCACGAAAGAATTGATGTCACTTCGGTATTCTACTGGGCATACAAAGTACTGGTATTTGGACAACAAACAGGCAGCCTGAAGAACAAAGCAAGAGTTCCTGAGACACTGCCTACATGACAGTAAGCTGTGTGTCAGAAAGGCCAGAGACAGGAGCCAGGCTGCCTGTGATTAGTCTTCAGCTATGTATTTGTTTAGAAGGTAGTAACTGTCTCAGTAAAAATAACTTGAAGGACCTTTAGAAAACAAAAAAGATTTCTACCCAACCTCAAAGGGGCTGGGGGTTAATCTGAATACCTTTTTTTAGTCTTTTGGGACAGGGTCTCCTTGTAGGCCTAGCTGACCTGGAACTCATTATATAGACCAGGCTAGCCTTGATCTCACAAAGATCCGCCCACTTCTGCCTCCCAAGTCCTCGGATTAAAGGCATGTGTCACCATGCCCAGCCTGAACACTTCTTAAAAAAGATTTATATTTCATATGTATGTGTATGTGCCTAAGTGGATGTATGCTATACACCATATATGTGCAGGGGCCAGCAGAGGCCAGAAGAGGGTGTTCCTTGAAACTGGAGTTACAGACTCCATGTTGTTAGTTTCCATGTGGGTGTTGAGAAAGGAACCTGTGTTAAAAAGCAGCAAGTACTCTTAACTGCTGAGCCATCTCTCCAGCCCCTAATCTGAACTCTTAGAAAAGTAAGATCTTGGGGCTGGAGAGATGGCTCAGTGGTTAACAGCAGTGGCTGCTCTTGCGGAGAACCCAGGTTCCATTCCCAGCACCTACATGGTAGCTAACAACTATCTGTAACTCCAGTTCCAGGGGATCCGATGCACTCTTCTGACCTCTGCGGGCATCGCACAACACAGGTACACTTAAACACATGCAGGCAATACACTCGCACACATAAATAAATAAAAATAATAAATATTAAAAAAGATCTTATTTTTAATTTAAAAAATTTTATTATCGTGTGCATCTATGCATGTGTGCATGATGTGCTTACATGCCACAGAACACATGTGGATGTCAGAGGACAAGTTTGTGGAGTCAGTTCTCTCCTTCCACTTTTTGATGGGTTCCGGGGATGGAGCTCAGGCTGCCAGGTTTGTACCTGTTGACCATCTCACTAGCCAAGGATCTTACCTTTGAAAAGTCCACATAATGAATCTTAGCAGAAGCTAAGAAGATCCAACATGTAAAGGGACGCATTATAAAGGCATATATAGTGGCTTAATATAAGCTTCTATCAATTTCACCAGTTAGTAACCAGTGATACAAAGTGCTATGCTGATAGTGCACAAGAGTGCAGGGGAGTCTCTGGTTCCTCACCAACCGGAACACTTCGACTCTGTCCACATCATTGCAAATTTTAAAATTAGCCATCCCCAGTGATGGAAATATGAGATGCATGAGATAAAACACACTATTATAAGCTTCAGTTGCCAGATAAAAGTTAATTTTGTTTCCATTTCTTTTCTGCTCAAGAAGGTTAGCAGAATTCAAATATGACATTATGAACAGGAACTACCTTTGCTTCCAAATGAACCAGTTTCTTTAAGTCCATTAATCTGAAAAATATGTAACTCCCTTCTCACTATTTGGTTATCTGCTACGTTATTGTGGATAGCATCTCTGTTTTCCTCCAATGATATGGCTTTCCCTATAGTATTTCTAAATAACTCTTTAATTAACTTAAAATTTTCCTTAATTTGAATGCATAAACATTGGATGGGATTAGATCATTACTCATTATTACATTTATCAATTATTATTGATATTCTACCTCAAAACTTTTTTGTAATTCTACTAGAACTGAGAATGAACTGTTTATAAGCTAAATGGAGAGATTATGGAGGTTTTTCCCATTCAGGACAATGCCACATTTCCATTTATTTATATATTCTCCCCAAAGCTGTATGTTACAAGTTATCCTATATTTTAATTAATTAATTAATTAATTAATTAATTAAATGTGTATGACTGTATTGCCTACGTGTATGTAAGTGCAACCAGGTCATTCAATGCCTGTGGAGGCCAGAAGAGGGTGTTGAATTCTCCTGGAACTGGAGTTACAGATGGCTATTAGCTGCCATGTGGGTGCTGGGAATTGAACCTGGGTCCTCTACAAGAGTAGCTAGTGCTTTTAACCTCTGAGCCATCTCTCCAACCCCAAGTTACCCTATATTTTGATATAATATTTTGCAATGTTCAGGGACTAAACCTTTAAAAATTTAAGTTTCCTAATACTAATTTCTTGGTATATGTACCTTCTGGTTAGTCATTTAAAGTACCTTGATTCTCACTAAACACCTTTTAATTAACCTAAACTCTAGAGCTGGGAATGTGGTTCAGGGTAGAGTGCTTTTCAACATGCTCACCATTCTGGGTTCAATCCTCAGGAACAAAAACAAAAAAAAATCCCCAACAACAACAACACTGAAACTTAAGCCAAGTGTGGTGGTGCACACCTTTAATCCCAGCACTTGGGAGGCAGAGGCAGGTGTATCTTTGTGAGTTTGAGCCAACCTGATCTACACAGTGAGTTCCAGGCCAGCTGGGGCTACAGGGAGATCCCCATTCTCAAAAAGAACAAAAAAAAATCCAAACTTTAAACTCCATAACCCTAAACTAATATTTTAAAGATGAACAAGTTGGGCTCACAGGAGGAACTACTCATTTAGCCAGCGGACACCATGTGTCAGGGAGGCAGCATTGTCACCCATGTGTCAACACCATTTGCATTCTGGTACTGGTCAGATACTACCTGTCCCAGCATCTGTGTACCTCCCCTCCCTCACCCCCAAGGCAGAACAGCTTTCAGAAACTGTCAAAACACACAACAGTGGATCTCAAATCTGGCTGTATGTTAGAATCATCTGAGGAAGTCAGTCATCCTCAGATACAGATAGCACACAGATTTTGTTTAAATTCCCAAGTGATCTATCTGCTAAGCAGCCAGGATGATAGCTACCAGGGAACAAACGGGTTCTATTATAAATTAGGTATTGAACCTGGGTCCTTTGCAAGGGTAGGCAGCTCTACTGCAAATTGGCATTTTGTAATTTAGGTGTTATAGTTTAAAAAATACTAATAAAGTCAGTATGACTTTGCAAAATATAAATGAAATTAAAATCCTAATAAAACTCACAATGAATCCAAATATGACTGTAGAGAAGAAACCACCAATGAATCCTTCCCAGGTCTTCTTAGGAGACAGCTAATGAGGCCAAGCAAAATGAAGGAGGTTTATTACACTTGCAAAATACACAGCACACGTCAGCCTTAAGGAGTTCCCTCAGGACTTTCAACATCTCTTTCCATTTTTTCTTATTGGAATGGTTTAAAACTCAACTTGTGGTCATGATTTACTCGTGTAAATATCTTGACTACCATAGAATGAACAGCAGACTCAAATATGTGGCATGCTAGAAATGCCTATTGTTTTTGTTAAATAGTTTCAAGTTAAACTGCTTCTTTTCAAATGGCTTTAAACTCTATATCAAAGTAATTGTCTTACGACTTGTATGTTTCTCTTGGACTAGGATTGCATCAGTCACCCCAAGTACATATGGCAGTGCTGCTGACCTACTACTGATCAAAAACCAGAATGAGTACAGCAAAGCACGGATACCGCAGCAAACCAGGTTGTGTCCTTTTGGCAGGTGGGCTGGGGAAAGAGCCCCACTGTGGCGCTCATGCTGCTCGGGAACTTGCAATCCTGCTGCAGTCTCTCAAGTGCTGGGACTACAGGTGTGCACTACCATACTCAGCCCAAATTTTCATATAGTCCTAATATGCAACATATGATTTCTTTCTAAAATGAAATATTTCACAGCCCTAAATTCTGTAGTTGTCCAAATATTTACAACTATGTCTATCTTCAGAAAGAAAAGAACATATTGTGCTTCTAAGAACAAATACTGTCTGTGTGTTTCACAGTCGAGCTACTGTTTCCCAGTCAATGGGACATTCAGGGAGAAAAATCCGGAGGTAGGTCTGGAACTTGGTGGTACAGGGCAGGAGACGACTCAGAGAGTGCATAAGTGTAACTTCCCAAAGCTGCTACATAAGCTAAGAATTAAAATGTGTATGGGGGATTTGGCCATCCAGTATCACTGATGGTCTTTGCACTGACAGAAGCTAATGCTCAAAAGGGAATATTTAAGGGCAGAAATGGATTATAGCCTAAGCTACCCAAGCTCCTTATAACATTTTGTCTTGATGTTAAGAAAGCCCAAAAATCAACCAGCTAGCAGAAAGTTTCCTGAAAAATCTGGTAAGAATTCTGCCATACAGATAAAACAGATGGACCTTCTGTGATGATCCAGCGCCTATACTGAATGCCGTCAAATGGACTCAAATTCCAAGTATCGGCTGATTATTTCAGAGAGCTTATCAAATCAAGTTGGCGCGTATCAGATCATGAGTTAATTGTTCAGTCTCCTGGGTATATAATACAACTAAGCTAATCTAATAAAATCACTTGAAAGCTACTTTCAAAATTAGTCACTAAGGTTTTTATGGCTTTGACAATAGTTTCTCTGAAGGCTTGCTAAGTCTGCAGCTTGGCCCATGCCAGCCTTGCGAACATGCAGACTTATTTTTCTGCTGCAGCAGCTTTGGAAACATTGCAAAGATCCATACCTAGACTGACAGCAGCCTGCAGCCTTAGTCTGATGCTGTGTAGACTCAAAAAGGGAGAGCTGATGGAGGTGCTCTGAAGGGCAGGCTCTCTGCACACTCCTCCAGGAGCACCACGCTACCTCTCATCACTGAACAACAGAAGGCCAATTCACAGTGGAACAGTGACCTGCAGATCCTCCATAACTGCTTTTGTCTCATGTCAAGACTACTATTGAAGACTCTGCCCAAAATGAAAACTGTCACTCACTTGAAACTCCAATATGAAAAACTTAGAAAAAATAAAAAACAAGAACTCAATTCTAGTTAAAAAAAAAAAAGGTTTGATTTTCATGAAGAACTGGTTTCCTTCTTCCCCAAAATGAGATATGTATAACTTAATTCCTTTCTTTGTCTCCATATAAAGAACCAAATCTATGACAAACAACAGTCATTCATGGGTATTTTCTTCTCTTGTCTGAACCTTTCATTACTGCATTATAACAGTATTTTATTGTAGGCCCCTAAAATATTTTTAATGAAGCTGGGTGTCTTACAAGTGGAAGAGAATAAATATATAAAGATGGTTTAAATGGCTCTTTTAGAGAGCTTGGCAAAGGTAGAATCGCAGAGGATTGGTAGGGTCAAGGCAAGGCTTGCTCCTGGTATTGTTCAGAAAGGAGTTAAAGACAGCAATGGCCAGGGGAGGAAAACAAAACAGAGGAAATGGACTCCAGCCCCTACTGAGGACCCAACAGAATACCCAATAGCAAACTCAGATGGGACAGTGGGAAACACTGCACACTAGGCCCTGCATTACAGCAAGCTCCTTAGTGCAACTAAGGAAAATTAAGGCACCTTGGAAATGAAAAAAATGTGCAATATTTTTAGTTAGAAACATTTCCCAGTGGGTCATCTTTAAGCTTATGGAAATGGCTTGCTTGAATATTTTCCATTACCTTAATTAAAGGAGTTCTTCCAAAAAAAAATCCAAAAAGGTAAGCAGTTATGTCATTGCAGATAACACTTGATATTGGAACAAGGAACCTTAAAAAAAAGCAAGAGGAAAGTATGGATGCGTTATAACATTCATATAGCTTATAACGCATAGTGAACCAACGTAATAAGACCACACTGTGGCCTAGACCACAGCCCAATACATGGCAAAAGATCAGTGGAATAAAGACTGAACGAACTGCTCACTTAGCAACTGAGCAGAACAGATCTATTCATAAACGGACACACTAAGAAGATTGCTAAGGAAAATATCAATTTCCAGTTACAAGCATTTGAATTTTAGTTTTATGAGGAACAACATACAAAGAGAAAAAAACATTTCTTTTAAGGAAAGCAGCCTTTTAAAATGGAAAACAAGTCACTTCTACAGACAGAGAACAATGTGATAAATTTATACCAAACTCTTAACACAAATTCTCTTTCAGGAAAAATTATTAATTTTGATTCTTTCTGTCTTAGCCTATGATCGTGTTAAACCTTGATAATTTTATAGAACCTACTTATATAAGTAATGTTCCTCCTTTGAGTAAATGGTTTTATATGGCATCCAAGCCCAAAATAAATGATTCTAAGTGTTATATAAACACATGCACATTTTAATAAGTTATCAAGAGAGTAAAATAAATCTTAACAAAACTCAATAATTAAGAGATGTTAAGCCAGGCATGGTGGCGCGCGCCTTTAATCCCAGCACTCAAGAGGCAGAGGCAGGCAGATCTCTGTGAGTTCAAGGCCAGCCTGATCTACACAGTGAGTTCCAGGCCAGCTGGGGCTACAGGGAGACCCTGTCTCAAAAAAAAAAGCCAAAAAAAAAAATGAAAAAAAAAACCCAACAAAAACCAAGATGTTAGTTAATGAGTTTAAAATGAATGTGGAGGAAGACCAGTCTCTTTACATATATGAATGTACATATAACCTTAAGCCTTTTCTCCATTCCAACTAATTTCTAATTATTACGTCGTATAACTTTTAATGAACAAAAATGCTTTCTGAATCTTCATGTCACGTCTATGGAGCTAGTAGCTGTGCATGTGCAAGTCTGGAAGCTACTCCTGTGTAGAAGCAAAGCAGAACCTGTCCGATACCACTTGGAGAAAAGGTATTTCTCTAACCTGTCTGCTCAAAAGCCAGTTCTCATAAAATGTAACTGGGGCTTTAAGAGGGCTTTCCTCATTTGATTTAGAACTTTAAGAAAGGTTCCCAATTATTAATAAAGCATTTGTGTCCAGCTGTTAAACAGTAAGTAAAACTCAGTAATTTATATGGTATACAACAAACAGTACATTTTCGTAGAAATCCAAAAGGCAATGCCCACTGTTAGAGGGTTTTAAAAGGCTAGACATAAAAATATAATGCAGCATAATTCTGTTCCCTTACCATATCATGCCTTCAAAGAGATTTTGGATGACAAGATGTGACTGAGTAACGATTATCAGTAAAGTGACATGAGTCCATGCGAACTGTTAATAGCCCAACAACACAAAAGTTAGCGAATACAGCTCATCAGTACAGCCAAGGAAGCAAAAGCAATTCTGAAACACAAATTTTCTGCCATGACTTCTGATCAAAATTGTAATAAGGTCACACAAAAGAAGTGAAGTTAGTAAATTATACTTATCACATCGCCTACTAGAACTTTGAAATAATAAAAACATTTAGCAAAGCAATTGCAAATTATACACACACATAATGCTAATACCAGTGAGTACACTACTAAATTAAAAAACACAGAAAAATAAAGCAGTCTTGGATCACTCAGTTTAGATGATACTGACGTTTACAGTGTTGGTCCGGTGTCTGGAAAGAGGAGTCAGTCTCTGGCTGCTCCTAGAGTTAGCATGCTAGAACTGTTTTCCTTTCTAAGTTTATTCTGGCAACCTTTCTCCATAAAGAGATATTTCTAACTTTGAATGATTCAAACTCACAGGATTCAACTGCCCTTAAATTCCATCCTTTCATGCCTGAAGTTGATCTTCCCAAGTCTACTCAGAGCCTTTCTATTTCAAATTTTCAAAGCCCTCTGCTATTTCCCTCATTCAGCCTGAAAAATGGCTATTTTAGTGACTTTTAGTACAAATAGCTATGGGTAGAATGTGAACCAAAAGAGGTGATAATTTCATGAGATGGTATGATAATTTTAATTGGCACTTATGAAATGACTTTTCACATAGTTCATATTTTTTTAGTCTTAACAAACTTACTCCCCGTTTCATCAAACAATTTTTTTCAACTTTTAAAAATTTTTATTTTTTAATTTTTTATTGTATGCATATATTGCCTGCATGTAGGTAAGTGCACCTGTGTCATGCAATGCCCGTGGAGGTCAGAAGAGGCTGTCAGATCCCCTGGGACTGGAGTTACAGACAGTTGTTAGCTGCCATGTGGGTGCTAGGATTTGAACGCAGGTCTTCTGCAAGAACAACCAGTGTTCTTAACTGTTGAGCCAGCTCTCCAGCCCCTAAACAATATTTTTTATTTTACCCTTTTATATATATATAAAAGAATCAAATATTTTACACTACCTGCTTTAAAATGTCTTTTTTTCCAATAGCAACATTTATAGAGTTGCCCCTCTGTATGTATCAACTCCTACATAGATTCGGGAATCAAATACTCATGGATCAAAAATATTTGGGGGAAAATGTGTGTCCTGGACTTGTACAGACTTTTTTCTTCTAATTATTCCCTAAGCAACACAGCATAACTATTTACATAGCATTTGCATTACACTGAGTATCAAAAGTAAACCAAAACAATTTAAAGCCCACAGGAGGCTCTACGTAGGCTTTATGGAAGTAAGCCATTTTGTAGAGCTCCTCAAGCATCCATGAACTTTGATATTCATGGTAGTCCTAGAACCAAGTTCCTAAGGACAACAAGGAAGGGCTTTTTTTCCACAGGCAAGTTGACTATTTCTAATTCATCTTGAATATTTTTAGATTTCACTAAGATTTTTTACTCTAGGATCCCCTGATATTGAAAATGTAAGAAATGCTATAAATTCTCAGCAATAATAATTAATAGAATGTTTTCCTGAAGAAAAACAGCTCAAATAGGAAGTATAATTAAAACCTAAAATAAGCTTTATTAATACATGAATTCACAGTATAATACTACATCATACTTTAAACTGATAATTAGTTACATTTTAAGGAAATAAGTTTACCATGTAAACTAATAAATTTTATGAAACAGACTACTTTATTCACAGGAAATAGCTAATATGACTAATATGGCTAATAATAACAACCAAGAAAACACATACTTTGCCTCCTATGCCCATGCCGACAGCAAGTGGTCAAAGTTAACTGCCACAAAATCACATGCTGAATGCTTCCTAGGCTGGCCAGGAGATGATTAAAACTACAAATTATTCTATGTACTTAGGAAACTCAAATATGTCATTTAATTTTTTATCATTGAAAATATTTAGAAAAAAGTTTTCAGGAACATTTTAAGAACTGTTACAACATTTTAAATCCTCAAAAACTTTCCAACTTCAACATTTTGTAATTAAAAGTCATCAAGAATTGAAAAATTCTTCATGGTCAGGTGAGACATTAACTAGCTGATTAGATGATTATCTCTTCACTGCAGGAAACAGATGAGAGTGGCTACAGAAAAATGTAATAATACACACCATATAAAACTGCAGGCGATAATGCTTCTTCACCAAGCTCAGTACAAACATGCAGAAACCTGTTCAAGAACAACAATAAAAAAATGTGCTTGCTGTGGAATTTTGTATCAAGTATAAGATACCCAGAACCAAAAAAAAAAAAAAAAAACCAATTTCCCACAATCCATCTAAGCATATTTTAGTCAGTACTCAAACACTGTCTCTACTATCTTATAGTAAGCATTTTAAGTAAATTTCTAAAGGGAAACCATTTTGAATTTTTTTCTTTCTTTTTTTTTTTGGCCTGAATTCACTATGAAAAACAGGCTGGCCTCAAACTCACAGAGATCTGCCTGCCTCTGCCTCCCAAGGGCTGGGATTAGGCATGCACCACCATGCCTGGCTTCATTTTGAAATTTCTACAGTGCCTAATATAGTCCATGGCACAAATTCAATCAATGCCACCTATGTTAATTAAGCAAATTAGTCCCTTGCTAATATGTGTCATGGAAAATATCTTTCAGTTGAATAAAATTTATTTGCTGCATCAGTTTATCAAGAGTCGGCTAGTAGCTCAATGCAGAGTGCTTGCCTAGCACGTATGGGCCTACGTTTCATCCTTAGTACAGCAAATCCTACTACACAAAATTTCAATTTATCAAGAGTATGCCCAGAATGTTTTCATTCTCTACATAGTATGAAAACTAGTAACTATTATGTCAGCTAACATCTCCAAATCATTAGGTTCCTAGTCTTATCTAAGCATTTTCCATGTATTATCTCAATCCCTCCAATAACCCTATTATATATCCAGTATCATCATCTCCATTTTACAAATGAAGAAAAAAACAAATTTTGTTAATTCACTGAGGATCATAGGACTAGAGAGTAATATTCAGATAAATCCTCCTGGTGCTCATGTCATTAGTTCCACAGAAACCCATAGGAGCACAATTCACATGAAGAGTAACTTGAAATTTTCAGATTAGTATTATAATTACAGTAAAATATGTTTTAAAAATAATTTCCTGATTTTCTACCTTTTGAATCTATGTCTGTATCACATATACTTATTATAAGAAGATTTGCTGCATATAAATTGTTGTTCAATGCAGTAACTTTCCCTAATCACATGCTAAAACAACAGGCAAGATAAAGCACTTTTTACCCCGTACACCAGTAAACTTATAAAGATGTGACATTTTTTAACATAAATTGTATAATACTGAAAATGTCCACAACAAGTGAGAATTGAGTCTCAGACAGAAACTGAATCTCTATGCCAACCGAGCTATACCACATGAAATAAATACTAGCCTTTTCTAGCTGTACTCTATTTCCCAAGGCAATTTCACCCACGAGAGTAACCAAGGGTGCTGCTTTCATCCTCAGAGCAGAGAAACAAGCAGCAGCTCTTTCTGGCTATTTTTCATGACTGGTCTTAAATATCCAGGTGCAAAGAGAATGGTGAAGGAAGAGCAGCTCACTGATCACGGCTCCTACCTCCTTCATTTACAGAATAATCTTGATAATTGGACAGCAAAGCAATAGGGAAACAATCTTTTAGTGGAAACATAGTGAAGCTACTGTAACATTTGAGAGGGGGAGGATCTAGATGTGGGGAGGGGGCACTAAGAACACAGAGCTCATGTCAAGTGTATAAAAGGTTCCTTTTAAATTACTGCTTCTAAAAAAAGTTATAGAACTAATTTCTTATTGTGGGGGCCAGTTTTAATTGTCAACTTGATACAATTTAGAATAACCTGGGACGACCATCTTAATGAAGGATTGCCTAGATCAGGTTGGCCTGTGGGCAGGTCATAATAGGAAGACTCACCCACTGTGGGCAGCACCATTCCCTAGATTTGAGTCCTGGACTATGACGTTAAGTATAGAGAGGGGGCTGAGCATAAGTGGGCATACATGCATTTCTTTTTTTTCTGCTCTTGACTGTGGAAGTGACTAGTTGCTTAAGTTTCTGCCTTGACTTCCTGATGGACTATACCTTGGAATTATGAACTAAAATAAGCCTTTCTTCTCTATGTTGCTTTTGTTAGGGTATTACATCACAGCAACAGAAATGAAACTAAACCACCTTCCACAGCAGGTAGATTAATCACAGCTCAAGTAAAATGGAATTTCCCTGTCATTTTGCACACTGGTCTATGATTGAAGCTGCAGGTCCACTGGACTTGGTTCAAAGGCTAATGAAGACTGGGCAGAGAGGCAGATGTTGCTAGAACCTTTCTGTCCAAACAGATCCCTTGGTTCTCCCAGTACAGCCTTGGGAACTTCTTGGTATCATTAGCTATGAACTATCACCTCACAAACACGACTTCAAAATCTATTGTTTTCCTTTTCTTGAAATTATACAGTACCATGCACCCTGAAATGCTTCAAATAAAATTACCAGCAGAATTATTTGATATTTTCCTAACAAACATTTTACCTAGAATAGTCTTGGCAGTTCATTTTTACTTGGTCTCATTTCATCCACAGGATATGACTACTTGAATGCTAAGTACATTAAGAGCATCACTTCTCTGATTTCAGGAGAGAAAGCACAACAAGTTTTCATAGTTTATCTAAAATTAAGTGCTATTTTTAAAAATAAACACTCTTTCCAGGAGTGATGGTGCACACCTTTAATCTCAGCACGTAGGAGGCAGAAGCAGGAGGATCTATGAGAGTTCAAGGCCACTCAGGTCCACAGAGCCAGTTTCAGGGCAGTCAGGGAGGGCTACATAGTGAAACCTTGTGTGAAAAAAAAAAAATCCAAAAAACCCCACCCCCCCACCCCTAAAAAAACCCAGAAAATAAAAAAGAAAACAAAAATACTCTTTCTAAAAATGAAACATATGAAAATATTATCATTCACTAGTGCATGGCTATGTGAATACTTATGTTTATAAGCCACACGTGGTGGCACAAACTTTTAGTTCCAGTACTCTGAAAGCAGAAGCAGGCAGATCTCTGTGAGATGGAGGCCAATCTGGTCTAGCAAGTTTCAGGCCAGCTAGACCTACAGGGAGACCCTGGCTCAAAAACAAAACATAACAAAACACCCCATGGAACTGAGTATATATTATTTTAATATATATTTGGATCCACAGTTGTATCTTTTCCTTAACTAGCAAAGGATATACATATAGCCATGTTTTCAATGAAAATCATGGGCTTTATTACAATACTACAAATCAGAGCATTCATTGCCAAGGCTTCCTAACAGCAGCTTTCAGTCTCTCGTTGTAGTTCTGTATAGCTGAGCTGGCTGCACGATCCCTGAGCACAACACTGTGCCTGGAGGTGCTGATACAGAGATGAGCATGCTGCATATAGTCCCACTATTCAGGGAGAAGGAACTAGTTACAAACAGACAAAAAGACGTGTCTACCACAAAGAACAAAAGCAAATGAAATGGCTAAGGGGGTCAGTAGTACAGGAAGAGGACATTGAAAGGTCATCGAATGTGTGTCCTCTCAATAAGTATCTCTGCCATAAGAAATTTATCTTTTTAAATAATAAATGTGCTTAATGATGTGTGGGTTAAAGGTTGTTTCACATAGCCTTCTGAAATAGAAATGATAAATATTTACATGTTTAGTCAATGAACTCAAAGGAATACTTGACAGTCATTAAGAAGCAGGCCAAAAATCTGGGTCAGTCAGATTTAAAGTCAAAGAAAATGTATACTTCACTTAAGCCACAAATGCAATAGTCATTTATTTACATATATATTTCTTGGTTTGAAATAAGTACTTAATAAGTACCTTAAAGGAAGAATTTCACATATAAAAATATTTTTATTGTTATATTAGTCTAATGTTCTAGATATTTTATCAGTTTATCCTATTTAAAAAGATATGATTATTAGCCGGACGTGATGGCGCATGCCTTTAATCCCAGCACTCGGAAGGCAGAGGCAGGCGGATCTCTGTGAGTTCAAGGCCAGCCTGGTCTACATAGTGAGTTCCAGGACAGCTGGGGCTACAGGAAGACCCTGTCTCAAAAAAATCAAAAAAGGAAAAGATATGATTATTGTTAAATAAAATAATCAACCTCTTAATTTTTTTTTTAAAAAGGAAAGGTCCAAAAGATGCAAACTTCAGAAAAATGAATGAAGAATTTAAGAAATTGTTGAGCACTAACGATGTACTAGATGTAAGACACAAGAAAAGAAAGAAAACAGAAAGCTAGACACTGGCATTAAAAACTCATAATCTAGTTGAAAAGACAGGAGAGGAAATAAAATAAAGCTACTTTTAAAATTTACTATTAGTGATTGTAAACACATGGGAGTCCTCAACTCTAAAACAGCCATGAAGAAGGACCCAGGTTTGAACACTGGAACTTAACTCATCCTTAACTTGGTTATGCTTTCATTACATCTGCCAAAAACATCAAAACTCTAGAACTTGAGAGGCATACTGCATGATGCATACTGACACCCTAGAATACAAATAAGTTGATTACAAAAAGTTTACAATCTTTCTGCCTCCTCTTCCACAATGGTCCCTGAGACGGTGGGTGAAGTTTAATAAAGGAGTCCTGTCCAAGGACCAGCATTCAGAAGACTTGAGCCAGGGAGGAGGTGCATGACCATATGGAAACAGAGTCCTACAAGCTCCAGGAACCTGCACATATGACTCTATGGCAATGGTATCAGCATGCACAAGTCTCATGCAAACTCAGGCAGACAAAAGCCCAGCATAGAACTGGGAAAATGAACAGCAGACCCCAATTTTATCTGAAGAAATATTGGCAACCAATTGCTGCTAGGTGAAGGAGAGCTGATCTTCCTAAAACAAGGGACTCTAGATAGGCTGACTAGACCTTAGTGCATGGACTTGCAATGGAAAACATCTGGGGACAGTGACTTGACAAAGTGGGCTTTAATAAGGATGACATAATATATGGGCTCCAGTGGGGGGGGGGCTATGGGAGGGTGCTGGTGGGGATGGGTGTATAAAAATGATTAAAATTGAGATGTTCTGAAAAAAAAAGATTGAGATGTTCTGTATGAAATACAAAAAATTTCAATAAAAACAAAAAGTTTAAGTGCATATATAATATGGAAATT